ATTGTTGACTAGAAAGTCCCTTTGTATTAATTAAAGTATCTCATAGATAAGATCCTAAAGGATCTATAAGTTCCTTTAATAAAATGAATAAAGCTTCCATTGATATCTTTGCTTGTTGCTCTTCATTTTCTTGTATGTTGTTAATAATGACATTTATGCACCTATAGGACAGACATTCCTGCTTGTTTAGCGCTGACCTGATGTAATCCTGATTTATCACTTCTTTTAAGCCTTGTTTTCCCCCACTTTATTAGCAGCTTGGATTTATCTTGTCACTTTTGCTGAGCTGCCAAAAGCAACAGCCTATTATGGGAGAAGAACATTTCCAAGCATGTTCTTGTACATTTCCAAAAAAGAAGGCTTTGACAAACCTCTCCATTCAGCTCAGTGGCATCCAAATAGATCAACATAGTAAAGGCACTGGACAGAACTGTAAAATCTGTGCCCCATTGTGATTACTATGACATCCATGGCTAGATAGCAAGACTGAGTGCTTGTTCAAAAGACTGTTTCTCAAGAGCTTTCTGCTACCCTTCACCCTCCCTTCCTCTTAACACTCTGAATGCACTAGTTCACTTAATGAAGCCTCTCTTATCTAAGATTTTGGCTTACCTCCAATGGCAGCTCATGTTCCCTCTCTCTCCAGGATTCTCCCATTCTGTTTCTTTGTGATCCTTAATCCTAATTATCTTGCACACAGAGTTCCACTGAGAAAATGAGCTTCATCTAAATTTGGCTAGTCTAACTCAAATAGCTTAATAACGAAAGTACATTTAAAAAATACAATTAGTCACTATGAGATATATTTAAATGGAAAGATAAAGATATGTGGAAAAGTCTCAGTTGTTTTCTTGCTAAGAAATGTAAAGCTATGATAACATCCACATTTATAATTAAATGGACAATACATATATACATACACACCCGTGTGCAAGAGTGCATGAACTGTCTAACCACGACCCATTTTATTTGTGGCATACTTCATGTCTTCTTTTCTTCTTCCTTTGGAAGAGTTAGATTGATTAAGGCTCACTTGATATTCACAAAACATGACATCTAAGAATTGTTCAGTTGGTAATAATGTGGGGGGGGGGACCCTGCTTGTGATTTCTCAACAGCCAATGACTAAAACACAAAGCTTTAGACTTCAAGACTCCAAGTGTCTTACTTTTAAAGGGAGTGATGTGAAGGGAAGTATGAACAAGGATAGAAACTGAAAAAAATTACGGCACTAAGAAAGGCTGTATGCAGAGATGATGCACACAGTTAAACTGCTTGCTTGCACTTATCCTATATTGAGAGCAAAGTTCATGACAACAGAATGTACGAAGTAATTTTATTGCCAGAAGAAAAGGTCCAGTGGGGTGTTTCTGTGCTTCTAAATAACTTCGTTATACAGAAAGTAAGTCAGCAGATATAATTTCTCTACTCATTATATAATCTCTTCTTCCAATATACTTTGATCTCTAAAGAATACAAGCTACTTTTCCATACTGAGAGACCTTATAAGGAGATAGAGCAATAGCCTGCCTTGTTCAGCACTCTGTTCTTATAGCAGCTTAAACTGAATTAATTTGGAAGCCAATTTTAGCAAAACGGAGGTGATCATTTATTGCTGAGTTCCAGTTCATAATGTCACAGGTAATATTTGCAGTTTTCAAAAATCTTCCGAGAGAAACTTTAAACAATTCTTTGATATGGAAATCAGAAGAATATGATCTCTGAAGCCAGATAATTTCTACTTTCCGCCTCATGGTGCCCTTCAGAATACTTTTTGCTCCTAATTCCCATGATTCCTAGGCAGTATAATTGTGCAGACTGGGAAATCTGGGAATTATAATCCTATCCCACTGGAGAGCATCAAAAGGGGAGGGATGAGTTAGACTCACAGCAGATGCATGAGTCTAAATCAGTAGAAGACTTTCATATTGCAGAATTAAATTTATATGTATTTGAGGACTGGAAGTGCAGAAAAACCAGTAGCACCAAAGAACTCTCATTTAATATACTAGTCATAGAGGCATTCCTTACTACCATCATTAAGATCAAGCACTGTACATTCAAAACTGAAGGCTCACTTGAATTGTCTAATTCAAATGAGTACAAATGAGAGGGCAGGGTACCTAGGTCTTATGCCACATAGGCTTTATGGGGAATAATCAACAAATTGAATTGCACTTGACAGCTAACTGATAATCAGGCAGCTTGCATAGGAGAGCATAGTACTAAACCAGAGAGATGGTTGATGTACAAGTTTAATAAATAGATAGATGGATAGATTAGATAGATTAGACAGACAGAGATAGATAGATAGATAGATAGATAGATAGATAGATAGATAGATAGAGAGAGAGAGAGAGAGAGAGACAGACAGACAGACAGACAGACAGACAGACACATATTGGCAGAGCAGTACTTGACAACACTCCCTATGCTGCTGCATTCTGTATTCTGCTGTAGCTTCTGCGTGATTTCCAAGGTAGCCCCATGTACAGCACATTGCAATAAACCATCCATAAGGAAATCAAGGCATGCAAAATAACAAGAGGGTCTCCTGATCCAGGAATATTCACTTGGCACACAAACTGCATCTGTACAAAGGTCTTCCTGGCCACTGATGCCAGCTGCTCTCTGATTATGAGCTGAAAGTCCAGGAAGACTCCTGATTATGCACCAGTTTTGAGTGAGGTAGTGCCACGCTGTTCAAGATCAAAGATGGAAGTTCTCAATACCAGGATGATCAACTATCCAAGGCCAGTCAGTCTTGTTAGAGCTGATCCTGAGCTATTTCTCACCTTCCAGATCCCAATTGCTTCCAGGTATGGGGAAGATTTTGACAGCATTGCTTCGTTGGCCAAGCATCAAGATGTAAACTGAGTAATATTGTAATAGTTGAAGAACCACAGGGTAGAGAATGGTCAGAAAAAAGTGACACCCGAACCCACAGAAGTACATGGGATGCTCCCTATTTTTTTGGCCTGTAAAGGAAAGGTGGGAGGAATATACTGTATATACTTTCTGACATGGAACGTACTGTTAATGTAATCTTAGAAATATTTAGAAGTAGTATTTCTGGGGTTGCTTCTTGTCTGGTACTGGTGCTAACTGACCCCAAACTGACCAATTGCATGTCAAACAGCCCAAACAGCCTTTACAAGTCAGAAGGGATAAGAATGTAACAAAGAAGTGGCTGAGTTAGCAATTCTTCAGGAATTACAGGGTTAAATTCTCCCAGACTCCTAACCAAGCATGACTGCACCTCCATCACCATGATTGGACCAAACCAGTTGGAGTCCAACTCAACAAGAAAACTGAGTTACTTGTAAAAACAAAACTAAAGCTAGACTGCTTTCCATTTTTAGTATTTGAAAGATAATATTGTATTTATAAGTCCTAGTAGGGAAAACTATGAGTGTCTTTTTGCCCTTCTCTTTGTTTACCTTATTAATTGCTCTTTCTACATTAATTTTCTTTCTTTTTTTAAAGGCAAGAACATTTTGGAAAGCAAAGATTTGCATTATATTTAGACACTCTAACATGTGCATAAAAATTATACACTGTATGACAGAATCATTTTGAACATTTAATGCTTAGTCTTATTAAGCATTCCACACCAAGAGGTTTTCAACAAATAGTGCTGAAACTGGTTACAATTAGTTACAATATCAGAAGTGCTTGTTACCTTCAGGCAACTGTAAATCTAATCAAAGTGTAATCTTTTCACCACATTCTTCAGCCAGTTCTCCAGAGGGATTTCCAAAGTAAGTGGGAAATAAGTAGCTAAATAAGGTTTGGGGTTTGGCAAACCAAATAAGGTTTGCCATTATGTGAACAAACAAATGCAATGCATACAAAATGTAGTCACAGCTCCTTCTAAAATACAAAAGCTCTGGAATTCTTGGTGTTTTTGGTCAGAGTTTTAAATACATGTCTGATGTAGACATATAGAACATTGTACATAATTTTTAGCACCAAGGTTTATGGGTCCATGGAAGCATTGTAGTTTGCTCTAAATAAACCGAATTAGGGGAATATTAATAAAACAATGATTATAAATAAGCATTGAAAAGCAGATATTTTTTTTACAGCACCAAACGAATTTGCAATACCAAATGATCAAAATCTTAGAGGGGGAGCGCGAGAGAACCAAAATTACAAACAAGGTGAGAACCGAATTCTTCACCTTTCCTTTTTTGTGAATTTTAATAAATTAATTGCCTGATCTTTTAAACACATTGTCATTTCCACCAATATAAAGTTATCAGTGAATAAAATAGAAGAGGGACATTCATTTCACGGGTAAGGTGCGGGGGGAGGGCGAGAATGTAGCTCAAAATCCAGTCATCAGAGAAAAACGTGTAAGATTATGACTCCTGTAGGTTTATGTGAACGGAGAAGCAGAATAGAGGAAGAGAGCCTTTGGATAGGTTTTCAAGGACCGATTTTAATGAAAATACGAGGGGGAGAAGCAGGGATTTTTTCCCCCTGCCTACCAATAGCAAAGCGTCAACTGGCTACTAGAAATGCTCTGCGTTGCTTTCGTTTCCAACGCGTGGTTTTGTGCCTATGGATAAAGAGGAATTTCTCCTTTCCTTCCTGGATAAGCGGGGTGGGGTGGAAGGAATTCTAAGAGCAGGTATCAGAACGACGCCGACCACATCCCCTCCGTACTGTGCAACCAAACAACCAGAGCGAGGCACTTATAGTGGTTCCGGAACTGGGAGGCGGAGATATCACCCATGATGGCACCTTCTCTGACCTATTGTAGCCGCCACTTCCAATAGTCTGAACCAATAAAACAAAGGTGTAGGCGAAGAAGTGGGGGCAGCAAAACCATAGTGGAAACCCCAGTGCTTAGGAAACGAAAAGGTGGAGCGAGGTTTTGACAGGCGTAAATGTTCGCCAATTATTTCGAGCAGTTCTTGCCGGAGTCAGCGAATGCGTCGGGGAAGCTCGAACTGGGGGTGGAAAGAAGAGAGTAGTTGAGGAGGTGGGAGCTGTTGTTAGGGAGAGGGAGACAGCGCGGCTTGGCGGCTTAGCAGAAGCTGAAGGGAGGAGGAGGAGGAGGCGGCAGCAGCAGGTGAGACTGAGCGGCCGGGCCGGGAAACTGGCTGGGTGGGGCTCGGCGGTGGGAAGGGGCTTCCGAAGACCAGGCTCGAGGTTCGTCCCCTCGGCGGAGAGAGCGGGAGACCTGCGCCGAAAGGCCCGGGGTGTGGAGCTGCGGGGTGGGCTTGGCTTTGGGCTTTTTGCCCCCGAAGCGCCGTGGTGAGTCTCCGGAGGGAAGGAGCGGCGGTGAGAGCGAGAGCCGGGCGGGCGGGCAGGAAAAAGAGGAAGGGGAGAGCGAGGAATTTCTCCGGG